ATGTTGTAATCCCCAACTGCTGTAACATCATTTATCTTTTGTTAGTTGCTATCAATTTTGAATTTCTTCTTGTATGTTTTTTCTTATTACTTGTATGCCCTGATGGGCCCCAAATTGGTATCAATAAATCTTATCTAGGAATAGGAATCTCCCATCGGTGCTTATATCACTGATTTTTATAGAATGACTCACTTCCGTATTCGGTTAGGATCGAAAAAACTTATCATCAGGAACTAATTCAGGAAAACCCAACAGACATTATAAATTCTCTTCTCCATGAAAGGCCTCTTAACATAAACAGAGGCAGTTATATGCGCGTGTGTGCATGAATGTGAAATGAACTCCTCACGAGCATCATTACATGTTAAAGAGGGAGTGTCATGCAGACACTTTTAAATTGTCGATACAGACGAGCTATTGTGAGAGATGAAGTTATTGGAAAAAAGAGGATTCCAACTAATCCACTTCTTTGTCTGGTAGACAGAAAATCAACAAGATATCAGTTATCAAAACAAAGCGATAGCATACCAAGAATATAGGGAAAATACATTAAATCTTTGAAAGTTTTCTTTTCTGCTCCTTGGTGTTAAGCAGATGAACTACCTACATAGTTATGATGAGCAAAGGTCATAATCTTCCAGAATTGTGAATTTCAAGGCCTCAGGGTCAGGAATACCATAAAGGAGCGGGGGGCTGTACTTGTATACTGAAACTGGATGAATTGTTTGAAATCTGCTCCTTGGTATTAATCAAATATTTTTGAAAAGCAAGGGTGCCTTTTCAAAAATTGTGCAATGTGTGGATCTAAGGCTTAGGGTCAGGGGTTCATGTGTGATTGGGGCATTACTGATCATGCTGAATATTACTGATTACTTGAAATGCATTTTTTGTTCCCCTACCCTGCCAATGGGTATTAAGTAAACAAACTAAGCAACTGCTAAGTGTATTGTTATGATGATCAATGGTGCCTCTTTCAAAATTGTGAATGCCATAGCTCTGGATTAAAACATGAATCAAATTCAATCACTGGAAAGTTGTTGCATAATGCTCAGGTGACCTATAAGGCCCATGGGCCTCTTGTTATTATTCCTCCTCCTATATAGTTTGACCATTTTAGTTATGTGTTAGGGTTTTTTCATACAATGTATTTAATGTATATCATTAATACAATATTTATTTGCATTTTGTTAAGGTAATCAAGTAAATATATGAACTCTGATCACAGTTTATGGATTTAGCTTTGTGCAAGTCTTAATTGGTTAAAGGGAAATAACAGAAATAACCTGTTTTGGAGATAGCTAAAAAGATTTTTTTTTTTTGCAAACTTCTTTTAATCTGTGTTTTTTGTTACCTCACAATATCCTTGCATAAATGAAGGCAATTTTTGATTGATTGTTTGATACTATCGGAGGCACTTGATATAGGTAGGTACAGTTACCTGTATTTAATTTCAGAAATAGTATGGTATTTTAAAACTAAACCGTTTCCAAGAAATAATTTTATATAGACAGGTAAGGATGCAGTGCCAAAGTCATTAGTCATTTGACAAAAGGCATAAAATCTATCGGAGAAAAATGTTCTTCAAGTATTAAAACATATGCATTTCCCTAGACTCCAAGATGTAAATCTATCGGAGAACAATGTTCTTAAAAGTTGTAAATTTAGTACAGCCATAATGTTTTTCGTGCTAGGGGGTAAATTTAGGTTTGCATATCACTGCATTAAATTGTTCAGGATCCATGTAATTACATTTTAATGCATTAGCATGAACATTTACTGATATTTTTAATGAACAGATAAACATGAATGTGTCGAGACCATATGTCGGTTTAGAAACACAATGTTACGATAAAAAGGTATAGAGACCATTTGAAAAATTCTAAATCTATAAAATTTCATGTACCTGTATGAAAAGTTTTTATTAAAAGTTCGCATTTCATGAACCTATATTAAAGAGGACTGTGTTATAATCCATGGGTTTTGATTTAAATTATTCCCGATGTGATACAATTAGTTTTTCATTATATCATTAACAAATTATTTTACCATAATAATATGAATCTTTGTCATGTTTTCATAAAAAAATGTGGATTTAAATAAAAATTACGCTTTCATGCAAAAACAATTCGAATCAAATATATATGATCATATTTTGAAATATCCTTACTGACATCTTCATCCTATACATGACTGTACAATGTAAAATTAAAATATGAAAGAGTTGAACAGACACTTGCTGAAAATTACAAAAAAAAAGGTTAGGAAGTCCAGCATTACATAACATTACATAAATCTTAATATCATTTTTATGTTCCATCAAGGCATGGTTGACAATTCTTCAAAAATATATGTTGTTGAATATCATGCTCATAGCAATTCCTATGAAGCGTCACTTATAGAGATTATACAAGGACTTCCAATAAAATTATATTGTCCAATCCGATGACAGAACAACAAAACATGCTGGTTTACTCCGTTTACATTGTATCGCAGACACGTGGTTTACGTCAATTTTACCTGTTACCCTTTTCTACATTTCAAACTTTTATAATGGTCAGTCAATGCTGTTTATACTAATTAATACGCATGGATTTTCAGCATTTACGGTTTTTAGGACAAGAAATGCACATGAAACTTGCATGAATTCACGGATACTCGGGAATACGTGTAGACCTAGCGAATTGCTCACCACGCTACAAAAGTTTAAACTAATGCATATCATGTATATTCTATCCATTGTTTGTAACTGTATATAAACCTTTCTGTGGTCTCGGAAATGGTACATATGTAGATCCGTGTCTAATCTGTGACTCAAAGGCATAAAAAATATCGGAAAGCAGTAAAATTCCAAGCATGTTTCCATAGTATTTTTGTGGTACTCACTCGTAACAAATTTCATTTAGCTGATTGGTCAGTTAGAAAGTATCGCCTGTGCTCGATTAGCATATGAATTCTTTTTACGTCAGAAAATGTAGTTCCGTCGATCTGTTTGTAATGGGAAAGGTCAACTAGATTTTACAGTTTTTAGGTCACCTGAGTAAACTCAGGTGACCTATTGCTATCTGTTTTCGTCCGTCGTCGTGCGTCGTGCGTTAACATTTGAACATTTTCAGCTTCTTCTCTGAACACACTGAACCAATTTCAACCAAATTTGGCACAAAGCATCTATGGGTGAAGGGGAACAAATATTGTGAATTTCATGATCCCCGCCCCCCCCCCCCCCCTGGGGCCTGAGGGGTGGGGCCAAAACCACTAAAATTAATGTAATCTTTAAAAATCTTCTTCTTTACTCCTGGACATCAAGCAGTCAAACTGTTTGCATGATTGTAATCAGCATTGAGTCCTCTACCAAAATTGTGAAATTCATGGCCCTGGGGTTAGGGGTTCTAGTGCTAGGGCGGGGCTAAATAAGTAGGTAGTGAAAATGCATTATTTCTTTGAAAATCTTCTCCTGGGTATTAAATAAACTAAATCAGCACATAGTTTTGATGAGCAAGAGTGTCTCTACCAAAATTGTGAATTTTATGGCCCAAGGGTCAGGGGTTCTTGTTTTAGGGTGGGGCTCTTAAATGATTATATTTAGTGAAATGCATGAATTCTTTGAACATCTTATCCTTTGCTCCTGGTTAATATGATAATGATCTAATTACATATTTAAGGCCAGGATTTATTTTATTTTCAGTTTTACAAACTCTCCGCTCAAGGTTTTGAATTTTCATAAAAAAATAAAACAACTTTTTTTCTTTCCGATGTCAAATTTGAGTCGAGATCGAGATTTCAATTTTACGAACTCGCACTTCCGGTTTTTACGATGAAACGGCGGGTAAATAAAGCTAGATCTGGGAAGATAGCTTGGTTTAGTGTAAAATTCATCGATAAGAGTGCCATTCAAAACGTTTCACCCGTTCAAAGGACAAATAAAATGCTGACGACTTTGTTGCACAATGACATGCTCGTGAGATAATTATGTATTCGTTTCAAAAGTATCTGTCTGTAAATTATTTTCCTCCCCCAGGTTTTAAACTGCCCGTGGTAGCTATTGCATATTGCCAGCGACATTGTTTAGGTCTCTGTTATAGCTTACAGTCTAAACATCATTCTTCAGAAAAGGGTTGCTTATGCATCAGATGTAATGAATAAAACTATGGGAGAAGTTAAGTCCATTTGAGGAAGAAATAAACAATAACCTGAAGAAATATAAGAATAATTCAACTATTAAAAGGCAAGAATATACAAATATATACAGGCATGTAGTATCATTTGTATCAGCCAGAAAAAATATTTTACACTTAATTGAAAAAATGTTCACCCTACTCCCCAATACTCTCTGTCTGTTTTATGATACGAATTATGATTTTAGGCATCCATATATTCAATGTCTACACGTTCACCTAACACATATTAAAAAAATGAAGATATATTGAAAGACTTTTCAAGAAATGATTATTTAAAATATATTTTGATCAACATCACAAAATTTATATAACTTGCCCAAACTGGCAGATGATGAAATAAGCAATTAAATGTTCTACTTACCTATTTGTAAGCATTATGTGTCCAGTGGTAAGGAGCCTATTAGGATAGCATAAAAAGAGAATGTACAAAATGTTAATAATTGATTTATCAAAATTTTTTTTTTATTTCCTTCTCCTTCGGGACTTTTTTATTCTCATGTTCATAACTAAACCTAAACATAAAAAAATGCTGACCTTATAATGAAGAAAGGGGCCTCTTTCAAAATAGATAATTTCAGGGCCGCTGGGTCAGGGGTACCAGGGGAGTACTTTGACTAAAAATAAATTAATGCTTTGAAATCTGCCCTTTGATAAGCAATGGTGCCTCTTTCAAAATTTGTGAATTTCATGGCTTTTGGATAAAAACACGAATCAAATACAATTGCTGGAAAGTTGTTACATGATACTCAGGTGACCTATAAGGCCCGTGGGCCTCTTGTTTAAAAGAGTACAGTTTTACACTTTTTCCTGCATTTGGACAGACCTTTAACAGAAGCTGAGATTGCAGAAAGACGAAGAAAAGCCAAAGAAAAAATGGCAGAAAGAGCAGCAGCTAGGAGCCAAGGGCAGACAACTGAGGCAGTCACTCAGGAAGGGGAGACTACTGAAGGTTGTACAGACATTTGAGATATAAATGATTTTAAAGGTTCTAGTGTGTCCAGTTAGTTTATAATTTACAGTGTACATTTTATTAAAATGAACAGTAAGTAATGTCCAAGTACGACTTATTTGATTTGACTGTCAGGTCAGAATGTACATAGACATTTTTTAAATCTTACAATAACATTTTACAGCCCTTAGCCCCCTTCCTGAGGATGACCTAGAGAGTAAAGAGAAGGAGACAGACTTGGTGTTTGTTGCGTTTGCGCGGGTTTTTAGTGGCACCATCAGAAAGGGACAAAAGCTGTATGTACTGGGACCCAAACATGATCCAGCCCTGATATCCAAAAAGGTAGACCAGCTAATTATGATTACATAATGACTGTCTATGTTGTACTTAATCTATAAAGTTATTAACCCAAGTTATTAAAATTCTAGCCATTAAACATCTGAAATGCTTATCAAAGAAATCTTTGTAAATTAATGCATGCATATTGTTATACATGACTGTATACTATTTTACATAGACTTTTTATCATGTTATAGATTCACAGTGGTGAGGAAATAAAAGAAGTGAATAGCATTCAGGAGTTGTCACATGATGATCATGTGACCTGTGTCACTATCAAGGAATTGTTTGTATTCATGGGGAGGGAGTTGGAGGGGATGGACCACATTCCAGCAGGGAACATACTGGGTTTGTAACATACAAAATACAAATGTATCTTGGAATTTTACAAAATTTGATTTTTCAAACTTTCTGATTTGACCCAATGCATTAAAGCTTTTATTTTTCTTAACAAGAAGTGGGAAGCTATTTTTGATGAATTAAAAAATTGAAGGTATAATCAAGTTTTTTTTGCTGTGCTTTAATTCAGGAATTGGAGGTTTGGAGGACCACATCCTGAAATCAGCCACTGTGTCCAGTACCCTGATGTGTCCAGCTTTCTGTGATCTCTACTTTGATGCTGCTCCAATTGTCAGGGTGGCCATAGAGCCAAGTCATACTCGTGAGTATCTGTCATAGAGACCATTGAACATAGTCACACTCGTTAGTATCTGTCAGGGTACTATTATACCTAGTCACACTAGTAAGTATCTGTAAGGGTACTATTATACCTAGTCACACTAGTAAGTATCTGTCAGGGTACTATTATACCTAGTCACACTAGTAAGTATCTGTCAGGGTACTATTATACCTAGTCACACTCATATGTATCTGTCAGGGTACTATTATACCTAGTCACACTAGTAAGTATCTGTCAGAGTACTATTATACCTAGTCACACTCATATGTATCTGTCAGGGTACTATTATACCTAGTCACACTAGTAAGTATCTGTCAGAGTACTATTATACCTAGTCACACTCATATGTATCTGTCAGGGTACTATTATACCTAGTCACACTAGTAAGTATCTGTCAGGGTACTATTATACCTAGTCACACTAGTAAGTATCTGTCAGGGTACTATTATACCTAGTCACACTAGTAAGTATCTGTCAGGGTACTATTATACCTAGTCACACTCATATGTATCTGTCAGGGTACTATTGCTAAGTCACATTTGTAAGTATCTGTCAGGGTACTCTTAAGCTAAGTCACATTTGTAAGAATCTGTCAGGGTACTATTAAGCTAAGTCACATTTGTAAGTATCTGTTAGGGTACTATTATACCAAGTCAAAATCGTGAATATCTGTCAGGGCACTATTATACCAAGTCACAGTATGTATCTGTCAGGGTACTATTAAGCCAAGTAACACTAGTAAGTATCTGTCAGGGTACTATTATACCTAGTCACACTAGTAAGTATCTGTTAGGGTACTATTACGCCAAGTAACACTAGTAAGTATCTGTCAGGGTACTATTAAGCCAAGTAACACTAGTAAGTATCTGTCAGGGTACTATTATACCTAGTCACACTAGTATGTATCTGTCAGAGTACTATTAAGCCAAGTAACACTAGTAAGTATCTGTCAGGGTACTATTATACCTAGTCACACTAGTAAGTATCTGTCAGGGTACTATTATACCTAGTCACACTAGTATGTATCTGTCAGAGTACTATTAAGCCAAGTAACACTAGTAAGTATCTGTCAGGGTACTATTAAGCCAAGTCACACTAGTAAGTATCTGTCAGGGTACTATTATACCTAGTCACACTAGTAAGTATCTGTCAGGGTACTATTAAGCCAAGTAACACTAGTAAGTATCTGTTAGGGTAATATTAAGCCAAGTAACACTAGTAAGTATCTGTTAGGGTACTATTAAGCCAAGTAACACTAGTAAGTATCTGTCAGGGTACTATTATACCTAGTCACACTCATATGTATCTGTCAAGGTACTATCATACCAAGTCACAGTAAGTATCTGTCAGGGTACTATTAAGCCAAGTAACACTAGTAAGTATCTGTCAGGGTACTATTATACCTAGTCACACTAGTAAGTATCTGTCAGGGTACTATTATACCTAGTCACACTCATATGTATCTGTCAGGGTACTATTATACCAAGTCACAGTAAGTATCTGTCAGGGTACTATTAAGCCAAGTAACACTAGTAAGTATCTGTCAGGGTACTATTATATAGTCACATATATATAGGGTATATTATAGCCAAGTAACACTATATATATATATAGGGTACTATTATATAGTAACACTAGTAAGTATCTGTTAGGGTACTATTAAGCCAAGTAACACTAGTAAGTATCTGTCAGGGTACTATTAAGCCAAGTAACACTAGTAAGTATCTGTTAGGGTACTATTAAGCTCATAATCATAAGTATCTGTTATAGGGACCAATGAGCCAAGTCATACTTGTTAGTATCTATTAGGTTGAATATTGAATATAGTCATGAGGCATGAGTCTGATTCATCAATTGCCTTAGCTCCCTCCTAAGTTTCAAAATTTAATTGTATGTTCCATGAAGTTTATTCTTGAAACCCAAGGACAGTGCCTAGATATGTTCAAATCAATAGAATTAGGGATTACAGCAAAATTTGCAAAGGATTATTTTCAAAGAAAAGATTATGTATTGTATGACTATTTTAATTTACTTTGGTTATTACTAGGGCCACAAGGTTTATGGTCTGTCAGTAAAAAAGGTCAAATTTTTGTTTTGAATATGTTTAATATAATAATGCAACTTTACAAAATGCTTGTGACAGATGTTGACTTTTCTCTTCAATGAGCATGAAGAAAGTGTTTTAATGTGAAATATACACATTGTTTTCATGCATGGAGTATTTTTCTTTTTTGTTTTCCTGTGTGTAGTGATTATAATTCCCTTCAGATATGCATTGACAATGAACTTCATGTTTAAAACCACAAAAGTATTACGTGATTTCGTAGTTTTATTGTAACAATGTGATGTAATTTACTGCAAATATTTGATTTTTTTCACTTGTTTCTTTCCACATTGAGCAACAAACAGATTGTCATTTGTATCTATACACAGTCCCCAAGTTACACACAATCCACAGTTTATGTAACGGAGGAACTGTCCATTTTGGTCTATAATGTGGACACAGTCATTGTCACAATCAGCTGTAAGGATGTGACTCTGACTGTCTGTGGTGATTCCTAGTGGACGGAATGATTCGTTCTTTGCAGCAGGAATATGTCCAGTGTACCTGAACCTCAGTTTCCCGGCCTGATTGACCACCACTACTGCATTAGCTCCTGTGTCAGACACACAGATATCCAGGTTCCTGTTCTCAATAATGTTTTGATATTCAATTATAAAAATACTTCCTGATGATGAATAAAGTGGTTTACCTTGATCATCAAACTGAATGGTTTGTTTCTCTGTGGAGCCAAAATAACGGACAACTTTTGTTTGTATGTTATCATCACTGTTCATGATAACCAGGAGGTCACCAGAGGAGGTACTACACACACCCTGAGGTAGCCAGTTCTGTAGTCTGATCACCTCCTCTATCTTCTTATTCTTCACAATGTTCACAGATTTATCTCTGTATTCAGTATAAACTAGATCTCCACTTTTTGTCACTGCTATGTCAAATGGTCTGTTCCCTGACTTGGTTCTGATTAACTTGAGTAGTGATCCCTGATTAATGTTGTAGAGTTTCATGGTGTTGTCATTTCCACTTGTCCAGATTTCTTCATCACTCAGACAGACCACATTGTAAAGTTCTCTATACCCAGTGTCTATGGTAGTAACAGTCTCTGGTTCATCAAGCAGCTGTTTGACTGGAGGAGAGGATCCAGCTTCTGGTGATTTCTGTGTTGTCTTCATGCTGTAGCCATGTTCATCTGAAGTAAAAGAACTTGATGACAATGATCCAAATAGTTTACAAAGGTCTTCCTTTTGGATTTTTTCTGGAATGAATTTGGGTAAAGATGGAACAATTTTGTTTGGAAGATTTCTGTATATATCTACACTGGATGTTATATTGAACAGTTTTGACAAGTCATTAGTGTCTGTAGCAATTTCCATTAAATCAATTTCTTCTTTGATGTCAGAAATTTTCTTCATTATTTCATCCAAATGTTTCTGTAGAGTTTGTAACTGTGTGTTTTTCATCTCATCAACTTCCGCTTTAAGTTTCTGGACAAGTTTGTCAATTTCTCTGTGCCAGTCCTCTCCATGTTTTGTTATGGCTGTTGAGAGATCTCCATATTCCTTTTGTAACTGACTCATTCTGTTTTGTACATCAGAGGCAATGTCCTGGTAGGTTGGATAAATTGTATCATTTAATTCATTTTGTTCTTTTTTAATCATTTCCTTTTTGTTATTGAAAACTTCCAAAAGTTTAGATAATTCATGACTTAAATGTTGCTTTGATGCAAGGCAGCTAACGCAGACAGGAATGTCACATTGTTTACAGTACATTTTACATCGTTCTTGGACATGAATTTTACACCCAGGGTAGAAGAGAGTGGATTTTCTATCATGAAAAGCAACAATTTTATGAGGTATTGAGAGATCAGCAGAGAAGTGTTTACCAACACAAGCTGTACACAGGTTGACAAGACATGTATCACAGTGCATCTGAGCCACAGCGGTCTTACACAGGTCACATCGCATCACGTCGTTGTCTTTTCTTGTCACCCTTACACAGGTTGGGAACACATCCCCTTTAGCGAGATCATCTCGCTATAGCGCGATTATCCCTCTGTAGCGGGAGAAAATACATCTCGGAAAACCGAGATTTGTACCGAGATTCAAACTGTAATCGAGTTAACTTCTGAAAAAGGAAAATCAGGGAGTATGTTAACCCATGTGATAAATATTTACTGTCTCATCTCAATAAATGTGCTTCAAAATATTGCCTCTATAGCTGCAAATCATGGAAATTAATATAAGTTTATTAACAATAGCGTAGACTTCCTACGGAGGACCACAGGTGATAATTATCAGTACAACTAACTTACCTCGGTTATACAGTTATTGTAATTGCATGTTTACCATATTTCTTTTAATACACCTGCTTGAAAAGCGGGAGTATATATACAGCATGATATAGTGATGGGGTGTCCGTCACTTTGGACTTTCCAAAGGGCATGACGATCTCGACACGAAGTCTGTTTGGTGACCTATAAATTCCAAATCGCCTGATTGATTGATATAAAGTCCCACCTTCTTACTGTAAGAAGCACAATATTGGTTCTTTGCTTCACTCGTCAGAGTTTCAAGGATCTTCTAACTGATACATGTATATTATTAAATTTTTCTGTATATTTTACCCGTGAAAATAATAAGTTCAGTGTCAGTTTTAAATTCTCGTCCTACGTAAATTAATTAACCATAGAAAATATTTTATTCTTTACTATTGCACTGTCTCAAACTTTGCAAGTTATATTGGAAACGTGATATTTCAGACGACTAGAGATGGTACATGTAGATGGACAGAAAGGTGGGGTGCGGGGGGGGGGGTGCTAGAAACAAATACAGTAGGTAGGTAACTAAAGCATTTTTAAATCTTTACAATTTTAATTGAAAGTCTTATCGGTGATCAATTATGACTCGATCTTTTAATAAGGAAGCTATTAAAGGTGACAATAGTCTCCAGATATTCTTTCAAAATAAAGAATGTCTTTACCAGTATAGTATTATCTGCCGCCAAAATACCGCTGAAATTTTGTCGACTTGGCATTTAACAATAACAACCAACACTTTTAGTATTTTTTTAATTTATTTGATTGGGGGGGGGGGGAAAGGTTTTAGACCCCCCCTTTTTTTTAAAGATTAAAAATGCCACCTGGTCTGTGTGCTTTCCTGTAGTTTATGTTTTGGAAAGTATCTGATTCCCTATTAAAATTTACACATTTTAACTTATGCATGATCCCAACTTGTTTTCAACGCAATTAAAGTGACCTCAAACGTAGATCTAGAACTGTTCATTGCCATCAGTAAAAACATTAAGAATTTATGTCATTAAAATACGAATACCTAGGGAACTTCTTTAAATTATAATTAACAACACGTAAGGAGCAACACATAATTAGCTGCAATTTCAAAAATGCAATTTTGCATTTCTGTTTTTCTCATTTCGTATAGTTATTAAATTTAATTCAAGGTAGCATGTTTATTTACACTTGCAATAGGCACGTTTCTGTGTTAATGAAAGATGGGTAAGTGGTAACCGAGAAAATTCGAAGCTACCCCCCCCCCCTTTCTACCTGCACGAAATAGAATTTTCAGGTTTGGACAATGGTCAAACTCCCCACTTTTTTGCATGTCAATTTTTTTTTTCAGGTTGATTTTTTTCTTTGAATTACCAATCCCCCCTTTTTCCAATCTGCTTCCGACGCCGTTAAATCATGCTTTCCTGAATTTACAAGTTTACCATGCATCAACATTTGTACGAAGTCAATATCGGTTAGAATCAATATAAACTTTTTTTTTCATTAATTTCTTTTCAATACTCCGTTAAATTAATGGTCTACCCATTTTCTATACACATTTAGGTTATATCATGACTTTTCCACAAACTTTACAACCCTGTTGCGCTTCCGTACTTCTTTGCGTCAACTAAAGGTCAAATATTTAAGCAAATATCATCGGTTTCTAAAGAGCTTTATTTTTAACTTTTGTTCAAGAATGGAAAGGTTAAGCTAAGACCCTAACGAATATAATGTGGATAAATATACATATTTTATATGGTTCAAAAACAAATATGACTGTAAATCTTGGAACCTTCGCTAAAAAGGCACGATTTACACGTGGATTTCAGCATCTTATTCTCACACGCAGCAGTGATTGTCTAGAATTTCTGGCCAATATTGTCAGTTTTTTTGTAGTTAATTCTGCTTCAATGCAGCTTTCTCCCGGATTTTCAATATGCACGAGATTTTTGATTATTTTATAACGAAAATAACAAAATTCCCGTTTATGGTAATGTTTTATCTCCCGCTACAGCGGGATAATCGCGCTTTAGCGAGATGATCTCGCTAAAGGGGATGTGTTCCCAACCTGTTACAATAAACAAGTTCTCACTGCTATCTCTAATGTAAATATTGCATTTAGGAGTTTAGAAATCATGTGATGTAAACATGTAGGTTACAAAATTCAACTGATAAAAATATACACCCCCTGTTTCAGTCATACCTTTAACGATCTCCATGACCTTGATTACATTACGTGATCAAGAATATGTAAAGATCAAGAAAGGAATATATAGATCATGTTACATGCAAAATATTGATTGGACAAATATTGTTTGTCTTTTAAAAATTAAAAAAAAAATCAAATAACAAAATTTATCAAATGAATCAACCAAAAATTATTACCTGACTTGAATGGCGTCTGTCTTGTTGGCCAAATCCTGTACAAATATCACGTGACCCACCTGTGTTATCTACCTGTCAGGTATTTTCAGACTTCCTGGTCTGTATATACACTGGGTATTTAATTTTTTGAATTGTTTACGCTGCTTATTTTTAACATATCCCTAAAATATTTAATCGTATTTATACCCATGACACAAGATCATTTTCTAACAAGTTAACAATTGGATGATATAATTTCATTGAACAATTGAGACTTCCTATCTTACATTTGTAATGAAGCAGATATTTGAGCTTTTTATACTTTTATGGGAGTGGGGGTTTCATTTTGTTTAAATGTAAAGTAATTCTGTAGTTTTAATGGTCAGGCAGACTTGTAAGTACAGTAAAACTTGGTTAGTGTGAACATGGATATTGCAAATTCATGGATATAGCAAAGTTGTCTTTGATCCCTAGCTATTCAACTAAGGAATTCCTTATACGGATGTAAGAAATAACAGGTATAGCAAGTAATTTCCAGGTCCCAGTGACTTCGTTATAACTGAGTTTTACTGTAATATAAACAGCAGCTAAAAATACATGTACATTTTATATAATTTTTTATTAAAAATATCAATGAAAAAGTAGGACAGGCCAGTAGATAAGTGACTTTTTGCTTATCTCTGACTAGTTTCAAGTTGAAGCATTATATTGTTCTAAGTTTGATGATATTAATTATGCCCCACTTCAAAGAAGGGAGGGCATATTGCTTTGCTGCTGTCTGTCGGTCCACTTAGTTTCCGTTCATTTTCTTCGCAACCGTTGCACATACTGATATGAAATTTAGTATACAGATTTATCACATAAATATCTAGTTCAAGTTCTGTTTCGGGTACAATCGCGCCATTTTTGACAGAGTTATGCCCCTTGGACTTAGAAAAATCCCAATTATTTGCTGTTTCCGTTCATTTTCTTCACAGCTGTTGCACATACTGAGATAAAATTTAGTATACAGATATAACACATGATTATCTAGGTCAAGTTCTGGTTTGAGTACGATTGCGCCATTTTTATTGACAGAGTTATGCCCCTTGGACTTAGAAAAATTCCAATTAATTGCAGTTTCTGTTCATTTTCTTCACAACCTTTGCATATACTGAGATGAAATTTAATATACAGATTTAATATCTAGGTCAATTTTTGTTTTGGGTATGATCGCACCATTTTTCACAGAGTTATGCCCCTTGGACTTAGAAAAATTTCAATTATTTGAAGTTTCCGTTCATTTTCTTTGCAACCGTTGCACATACCATAATGAAATTTTTTGTACAGATATATCACATTAATATATCTAGGTCAAGTTCTGTTTTAGGTATGATTGCACCAGTTTTGACAGATTTATGCCCCTTGGACGTGGAAAAATTTCAATCATTGCTGTTTCTGTTCATTTTCTTTGCAACCGTTGCACATACTGAAATGAACTTTTGTATACAGATATATCACATTAATATCTAGGTCAAGTTCTGTTTTAGGTATGATTGCACCATTTTTGACAAGAGTTATGCCCCTTGGACTTAGAAAAATACCAATTATTTGCTGTTTCCGTTCATTTTCTTTGCAACCGTTGCACATACTGAAATGAAATTTAGTATACAGATAAAACACATGATTATCTAGGTCAGTTCTGTTTTGGGTACAATTGTGCCATTTTTGACAGAGTTATGCCCCTTGGACTTGGAAAAATTCCAATTTGGGGGGAGGGGGCATAAGTGTTTTACAAACATCTCTTGTTATGGAAATACAGAGAGTGCCAACATATACAGACAATTAAAATTACTTCCAGTGTTGTTGCGGTTTACCAAACAAACTTTATGTTGATTCATATTCTTCCTATTTATTCATTTCTATCAATTAGATATTGTTTTATTATACATATCTTGCATATTACCATTCTATGAATCCTTTACAGATTGTATCATACTCAGGTGACCATTATGGCCTGTGGACCGCTTGTGTGTTTTAGGTGAAGCAGTATATTTGAAATTTTATTGGTCATTACTTCTAACTGTGTTGAGTTTTATTGTTATTTCAGGATTACTGTGACCACATTAATGAGATAATAAACAAACTTGTTACTGTCATGTAGGGAGTCATAGCTCAACAACTGTCAAAGGTCAGTTCTAAGGTCAAAGATCAGTATAGAGGCCAAAGGTCATACATAATGAATGTATCTATTGAATCTGACCATATTTTAAAGATTTCTATTTATTACATATTTACTTTTTCATTCTAAATTTAAGGCAAAAGCTTCTTTTATAAATGGAATGTTTCATTTTGTTTCTTTTTCAGTAAAATAATGATTTTTGTGTATTTTGTGTGTTTTGTTTCTTTTTCAGTGGGAAGTGAAGGAAATGCCCTCCATGTGTTTTAGGTCCATCTGTAAACAAATCAGCAAAATGCATGAAGCTGTCCTTGACATTTTGTTGCCAGATCAAATCAAGGTCAGCTCTCAGTTTAACCAGTAGTATTCAACATTTTAAATTTAAAAGATGCCAAAAGTTTATGATTAACTTTCAATTGTGCAAGTTGTTACTTTTTCATGTATTTTTTAAATACATAGACACTCTTCTAGGTTATGTGTTCATGCATAAAACAGATCAGGCATTTAGAATTTGTGAAGGAAAAAATTTATCCATTGAGAATGGCAAAGTTCATTAATCATGATCATTTTTTACGAGCTCTCACTGGTTGTTTCTTTATATTATAGGAGCTCTTCACAAAAAAAGCTGTTTCAAGAAGCTATCAGACAGCAGTTAGTTACATTAGAAGTCTTCTATAAAATTGGGGGACCACAAAAATCAGACAGCAGTTAGGGGACCACAACATGGGTAAATATCTGACCTCAACATGTGTAAATATCTGACTTCTACATGGGTATATATCTGACCTCTACCTGGGTAAATATATTGATATCAACATGGGTAAATATCTGATCTCAAGATTGGAAAATATCTGACCTCAACATACGTAAATGTCTGACCTAAACACGGGTAAATATCTAACCTCAACATACGTAAATATCTGACCTAAACACGGGTAAATATCTTATCTCAATATGGGTAAATATCTGACCTCAACACGAGTAAATATCTGATCTCAACATGGGTAAATATCTGACCTCAACATGGGTCAATATCTGACATCAACATGGATAAAAATCTAACCTCAATAATTCGGTAAATATCTTACCTTAACATAGATTAATATCTGACCTCAATGTGGGTAAATGATCATGAAGCATGCCAGCGTGAAGCATTGTAGATTATGTCCTCATGAATCTTCAAAAATGAAAATCATTTCTTAATTATTATTTTAATGTTTTTCTCAATATTAATTCTTGCCCCTATATTCCAATAAATGAACATTAAATTTACACAGTGCTCTATGTTGCTAAATTATCTTTGTAATTTCAGACTGGTGAAGTCCGACTTAGCATTCTATTCCGGGACATTTAAAACTTTACGAGGGTTGGAGAGTTTAGCACAGGACATGAACGATGTGTGGGACGTGAGGTGACAGCGCCCTCTACAGTCTGGCATGGTCATTATTTCTCTGTGTGCAATAATAAGACACTGGTCATTGAAGGGGGAGACAACTCACTCTCTCATGTCAACATGTTCTAAGTTATTATAATGGCATTTTTTAAAAACCAAACTTTTTATTCGTATGCATTTTATGAGACTGTTTATTCTCTGATGTCTGTGATTTCTGAAGCTAAAATGTGTCAGTAATATTTATACAAATAATAAAAATTATTTATTGACATTTTTGTTTCTTTTTTCGATTTTTTCATGAGATTTGGGTCGAGAAAAGAATATTAGAAATGAGTTAGGTGCATTTTTCTTTCTTAAAAATGTAATGATGTATATATGCTATCATAAAAAAAACTGTGACATTTTGATGATCAGTCTAAAGAACAAGGTTTTGAAGTGGTGTAGCTGTACTGTGCCTGACATTCTCTAATAGACTGTTATCAGGATGATGTGAAGAAGGATCCAAAGGAAAAAAAATCATTAGGAATACATTTAGTGCTACAAAAAACAAATTGTAGAACACATTGCAAGAAATTAAAAATGTACCTTTATGTAAACTCAATGTTCTGCCTCACAACTACTTTAGGTTGAAAATGGATTACTGCATCACAAAAGAGAATTATAAAAGTATCTACGAGTACCAGGCACTGAGTACCAGGTAAACAGTTTAAATTTAATTTTTTTTGAAAATTAATTGCAAACTAAGAAAACAAACTTAGTTTGTAATTTAGGAATTTTCTTCAGATGTTAGTTCTTGTACTGTGAAGAGGCAGCTGATGTAATGATCACGGAGGCTGAATATGTTACTGTACAAACCAACCTCAATGAAATGTTGTGTGCCGTGTGTGACCACGCCCACGATCAACGTGTCAAGGTCATTGTAGCCAGGGCAAAGGTAAGTGTCTATTGCTTGAAATATATTTGCTTTGTAATTTACAAGTGAGCTTTTCTTAACACCCATTATCTAACGTCCATTTGTCTGTATTAAAATTGCCATGGAAAAAGGAGAAACTAGATTTTACAATTGAAAGTCAAGCCGCCTTCCAAGTGAAGATATAATCAAGTACAGGCAAAAATAGGGTAGGGTCATTAAAATATTCTCAAGAACCACTGGGCCAGAATCCAGGAAGCTCTCTGAGGTAGATTTGATTCTTAAAGAGAATAGAATGTGGTAACAAAAGAAAAAAAAAGAAAAATACTTTAAACCAACTTTAATTCATGTGCGAGAAATTTTTGCGTAATTCGCGAGAGCCTGGTCATCTCGAATATATCTCGCTGCGAACCGGTCATTATAGTCTATGTGTCTATGAACAAGTTTAACGAGGCTAGGGGGTGGCAGCCATTTTTAGACTATTTCAATCTCCTTTAAAAGGAGAGCTCCATATAAAGATATACAAAATGATAAAATTTTAAAACTAAAATAAATGATTTTTTTCTTTGCCAAATGATAGTTGACAGCTAAATATACCATATCTAAAAAAATAAATGAAATCTGGTGGTTAATTTAAGATTAAATTTTTGACCCGCCAGCCTCCTTAAGAGATCCTAAATAGGCTTGTTTGTGAAAATTAATCGTCACGAACTTGTTTATCCCGGTAAATCGAGAATGTAGTCGTGAATAAAAGTTGGTTTTCAGTAAATGAAAGAGCAGACTTACCACGAAAAGAATTTGAATTTCAGCTTTTTTTTTTTTAGCTTGGTGACGTGCATAATGTTTTTTAATGTTTTGCAGGATGGATTTTTGGAGGTGGATGTATAATAATCTTACCCTTTTTATTTTGAATTCTGCAGGCACTTAAATTTGTGAACAGATTTCATGAGGAAAGATGGACCAAACTCAGGTAATCATTGCAATGTAGATAGTTTAATTATTGGGTAAAATTTCTGTGATGTATTTTAGAATAACTGCATGAAAACATAATGTAAGAATTTCAGCACCTCTAAGAATCTCGTTTATTGTAGCCTCATTTTGAACAATGAGCGATGGAAACAAGCGGACGTCCCAGCAGAATTCCAAGAGCTCGTTAATCATATCACACAAACAGGTAAAATACATTGTATATCATGAAAATAGCTCACGTTTATGTTTTTATAGTAATCTCAAAAGTCCTTAGATTATGAAATACATCCCAGTTTATAAAACATAGCATTTGCTTTATAAATATTTTTAAAACCAGAAATAGACTTAATACATATTATTTATAATAAATTGTTGGACTCCTCTAATTTTTTAGGCATGTTAAGTCTACCAGAAAGGACTGGAGATTCAGGTGGGTTCCTACATTTTGTATTTTTTTTTTCAATTGATTAATTATTATTTATAATACATGTGTGTTCATGAAAGTTCTAAATAAGTACTGTAAACCAAGTATTATACTGTCCATTTTATAGTTGCAAATGTAGTGAACTAATAGGCAAAAATTAATTAATTTTTGTGAACAAATAATTTTTTATATTAATTTAAAATGTTACATCTGTCCTTTAAGTAAGTAAAATTCTACCGTGAATACTGAATACAGCTTCTGTATTATTCTGTTCTTTATTTATTGTTTTATTTTTTTCGTGAAACATGCAAAATATTGTAACCGTACTTAACTTGATGACATTAGGGATTATAATCCTACTAGGTCACTGATCTTGTGGATATTTATTGTACTTAGTTTGGTTCAGACTAACTGGGTTTTATTGTAAATATTATTTATGATGTATGTGATGTTGCATGTACTATTATTTGTCTTGTTTCTTTGTTTAGATAAAGGCCCTATAGAAGTGTTGGTAGTTGAAGATCAGACATTTGCGGTTGTAGGGTGATTATTTTCTTACTTAATTACTTACTGTATGCAGGGAATTTTTCGACCCCGTTTTATTTCGCCCTTTCACCCTCTCCTTGACTGGGCAAATTTAAAATGGGGCAAATTCAAATTACACAGCATAATTTTTAAACAGAATTATGACTAGGAGAATTTAAAAAGGTGCAAAATTGTTTGCAAGTGCAAGTAAATATTTATTTACAGTATAAATGTTTATTTGCCTATAATATAGATCTTTATTTGTTTAAAGTATAGATGTTTATTTCTTTACAGTGTACATGTTTATTTGTATACAGTATACATGTTTATTTGTTTACAGTATATATGATATTTATTTGTTTTCAGCATAGATGTTTATTTGTTTACAGTATAACATGTAGATGTTAATTTGTTTACAGTATGGATATTTAATTATTTACATGTTTATTTGTTTACAGTGTATATATTTATTTATTTACATGTTTACAGGACAGTACTGATGCTGTTGAAGATGATGGTGGAGTATTGTCAGTGTGTCAATGACATTCCGTCAGCGGCACCAGATCTGTTGTCTAGACTGGTAGACCTCTTCAAAGTGAGTCTCAGCATTGTTACCACATACTTGTTATTTGCATAAGTGAAAAATCTCATATTAAAAATTGTAAATGGGAAGTTTCTAGTATGCCGGTCCCCAGAATCACGCGATTGCGCATGAGCAGTTATTTCCCTTGCCGTTGCTATGCAGAATGTAAACAAACCGCAATTTCCCACTCGCGTCAACAAACGCATCCAATCGAGTGATTAGGGTTAGGTTATATAGTTTTTAAAATTGGGGTTGTTTTATAAATCCACTCTGTAAACTTTCTGACTTTGGACTAATTTATGTAGTTTTTGCTTACAAAAGGCACTACTATGAGTGCCTTTTGTGACCAAGAACTTGCATGAATAAGCCTGTCGAATCGTGCCGATATCTTACACTTTGGTGTAGGCCTAGTTCATGAAAGTTTTTGTTTTACATAGAAAGGAAAGTTTTATAAATGAAAGTTCGGGTAAAACAACTCTAATGTCGAAACATGACGATCGATTTTTAGCGCCGAGTTTAGGCAAGTTATTATATCAGCTCGATATAGGCCTGACCTCCTAATGTCCAAATATTCCGAATATTTTTCCTTTCAAATCGATGAAGATGCACAATTTAAATCATCGATGACTAGTAATTAGCTAACATTTGTTAAATCCCTGTATTTCTCACAAAAATCCCACAATTTTTATAGCATTGCACTTTGAGTCCTATCAGGCATTTCTTCATTACGTCAAAACACAAGTGACGCATCTCATGAATATTTATGAGATTACATCAAAAATTGATCATGTGACCACATTCCTAAACAACGCAAGATGGAGTTTTACTTCCTAAACAAGTACGTTATTTTACGAAATCTTTTAATTCTCATTTAAAAAACTGTGTTTAAAAACCAGTTTTTTAAACCCAATTTTCCACAAGGAACACGAATTTGGGGTCAAATTTGCAATTTGTGGCTTCTTTTTCGATTTTGTCGATCGCTCACGCGATCGTCTATATATTGTACACCGCCTTCGGCGGCACCTATTTTAGCGCCATATTTATGGGGACCGGTATACTAGAAGTGTTCCTTGTAAATAATCTCTTAAATGTTTACATTTTCTCAACAATAATTCCTAAAGTACATTTATAGATTTTTCTAAAAATGAAGATAAATCAAGATAATCTTGCTGTTGTCGATTATAAAAGGGAGGTAACTTATACAATTTCTGATGTTCAATATTGTAGATTTTCAATTAAGAACTTGTCAGCTGGTGTTAGGTGCAGGTGCCCTTCAACTTGTGGGACTGAAAACCATCTCCACAAAGAATATAGGTACACAGCTAGTGCTTTTAATGGTGCATATCAGTATCTTAATCTTAAACTGCATTTTGTTTGTGGGAGAAAACGTGGACTGAAGGACCTTTGTATATACAGAACAAAGTAAATCAGAGGAAATTCAGATTGATTCTTTTTTTTCCAGCTCTGGCCTCCAGATGTTTACAGTTGGTTGTGTACTTCATTCCTAAAGTCCGGCTCCATTTTGAGGAGAGACTGGCTTCTAAATATAAAACAATGCTCAAACACCTGCACCAAGTACAAAAGGTAAACATATAACCATGTATGTATTGTATATTGACATCTATGATCTTTTTTTAATAGCATATATAGTTTTAAAAAATGAACTCAACTTTAAGAAATATTAATATCTATGAATTCAAAAGAGTAATAACTCAATATCCTTTTGCGAGTTGAAAAATAGAAATTGAGTTATTTCCCCTTTCAGTATGCCAGTAAAATTCCTCAGTGGCCTGGGAAATTTTACTCTAAAAACAATTATTTTCTTTTGTAATTCACAGAAGAAATTAACCACATCTTTTCAATGACGAAGAGAGGCCAAATGTAAGGCCGGGGGAGTGCTGGATTAACCATGTATTTACAATAATGTGTTATTAAGTTCTACTCAGGGATAGTGACAAATGGAAATATATTAGGCTGGCAAGTAAAAAGGCATACCCTTTAATTGTTGCAGTATGACCAGACTAACTTTTTTACTCAGATTAAAATGTACATAATTATATTATTACTTCACCAATCATTCATGTAGATCATTGATAAACAAGAGACCCAGAGGCCACAGCGCTCACCTGAGCACATCAGGCTTGAATTTACTCCACCCCCCTCCAGGCGTTCATTTGAACCAACTAGAATCTACACTACCTGAGGATGATTCCATATAAATATCACTTATCATATCTTTGAAGTACTTGAAAAGAAGATTTTAAAAGGTTTCCCAATATATACCTATGTAAAACTTGGGTTGGCCATTTTTGCCCCACCCTAGCCGAGGAACAAATTCGAATATACACTACCTGAGGATGATTCCACATGAGTTTCATCTTTCCTGGCCCAGTGGTTCTGGAGAAGATGATTTTTAAAGATTTTTCCTATATATTCCTATGTAAAACTTGGGTCTGCCATTTTGGCCCCACCTTTGCCCCGGGGGTCATGATTTGAACAAACTTGAATCTACACTAACTGAGGATGTTTTCACATGAGTTTCATCTTTCCTGGCCCAGTGGTTCTGGAGAAGAAGATTTTTTAAAAATGCCATTAATTTTTAACAAATTCATGATTATCTCCCCTTGGAAAAGGATGTGGCCTTTCATTTGAATAAACAATCCCCTTCAAGGATACTTTGTGCCAAGTTTGGTTGAAATTGGCCCAGTGGTTCTTGAGAAGAAGATGAAAATGTGAAAAGTTTAAAATGACGACAACAACGACAATTTTTCAGACTGCTACAGTATTAAATTTTATCAGAAAAGCTCACTTGAGCCTTCGGCTCAGGTGAGCTAAAAAGAAACATCTTATCATTTGTATTTGATGAGCACACATTGCATTGTTATGGTTTACAAGAACATCTTAAACTATCTTCATATTATTCTTTTTTTTTCTTTAATAATAGTTTCACTGCAAATATTTGATTTTCTTCACTTGTCTGTTTCCCCACTGAGCAACAAACAGATTGTCTTTCCTATCTATACACAGTCCCTTGGGATTACTCAGTCCACAGTCTATGTAAAGGAGGAACAGTCCATCCTGGTCTATGATGTGGACACAGTACTCAGTAATTGTTATCATCAGTTGTAAGTATGTGACTCTGACTGTCTGTGGTGATTCCAAGTGGAATAAATGGCCTGTTCTTCGGAGCAGGTGTATGCCCAGTGTATCTGAATCTCAGTTTCCAAGCCTGATTGACCACCACTACTGCTCTAGCTCTACTGTCAGACACACAGATATCCAGGTTTCTGTTCTCAGTAATATATCCACCAGATGAATAGAGAGGTTTACCTTTATCATCAAACTGAATGGTTTGTTTCTCTGTGGAGCCAGAGTAACGGACAACTTTTGTTTGTTTGTCATCATCACTGACCATGATAACCAGGAGGTCACCAGAGGAGGTACTACAGACACCACGAGGTCTCCAGTTCTGTAGTCTGATCACCTCCTCTATCTTCTTATTCTTCACAATGTTCACAGTTCTATCTTCATAATCACTATAAACTAGATCTATACTTTTTGTCACTGCTATGTTAAATGGCATGTTCCCTGACTTGGTTGTGATTGACTTAAGTAGTGATCTCTGATTGATTCTGAAGAGTTTCATAGTGTTGTTAAAATGTCCACTTGTCCAGATTTCTTCATCACTCAGAGAGGCCACATTGTTGAGTCCATTAAACATACCTGTATACCCAGTGTCTATGGCAGTGACAGTCTCTGGTTCATCAAGCAGCTGTTTGACTGGAGGAGAGGATCCAGCTTCTGATGATTTCTGGGTTGTCTTCATGCTGTAGCCATGTTTATCTGATGCTAAAGAACTTGATGATATAGTTCCAAATAGTTCTGCTTGGATTTTTCCAGGAGTAAAGTTGGGTATGGAGGGGAACCATTTTTTGCGGAAGATTTCTGTGTCTGTCTATTTCAGACGTAACATTTAATAGTTTTGAAATGTTATTAGAATTTACAGCAACATCCACTGAATTTATTTCATCCTTGATATTGGTTATGTTCATGTTTATTTCATCCAGATGTTTCTGTAGAGTTTGTAACTGTGTGTTTTTCATCTTGTCAACTTCAGCTTTAAGTTTCTTGACAAGTTTGTCAATTTCTCTGTGCCAGTCCTCTCCATGTTTTGTTATGGCTGTTGAGAGATCTCCATATTCCTTTTCTAACTGACTCATTCTGTTTTGTACATCAGAGGCAATGTCCTGGTAGGTGGGATAAATTGTCTCTTTTAATTCAGTTTGATCTTTGATTATTTTGTTCTTTTTTTCATCAAGAACTTGTAAAACTTTCTGTAATTTATGACCTAGATGTTTATCTGAAGTAAGACAGGTGGTACACACAGGAACGTCACATTGTTTACAGTACATTTCACATCTCTCTTTGCTGTGTGATTTACATCCAGGGAAGAGGAGAGTGGATTTTCTGAGCAAGAATGGAACAATTTCATGTGTTTTGGTTTGATCAGATATCATGTGTTCTCCCACACAGGCCTTACACAGATTGACAAGACATGTATCACAGTGCATCTGTACCACAGCGGTCTCACACAGGTCACATCGCATCACGTCCTGGGCACTGGTACAGGGGTCTTATCTACCTGTCAGGTGTTTATAACAGCAAAATTGGAGGCAGGGGGTATCATTTAGTGAGCTCATTGCCACAGTACCTTTAGTTTTGTATTGATTTTGTTGAATGGTGTTGCCAAGGTTTTAAGAATTGAAATTTGTGTGAAATTCTTTAAACATGCTAGTTCTCATATAGTTTTGGTTTGATTTAAATACAAATTAATTAGCACACAAGTAGAATAC